TAAAATAAATATAATTAAAGCCCTAATGGGAATGAAGTTGTACCTTGGTATTCAAAGGTAATTTATGTCAGTATGAAACAAAATACAGGACTATGTAGCACTTTAAAGACTAACAAGATGGTTTATTAGATGACGAAAGTATGATTCCCTTCCCCTTACCAACATGAGGTCCACTTACACTTTGGGGGGGCGGAGGGGAGGGGGAAGGAGAGGGCTGCACAGCTTTGACTGTACCACAACAGTTTAGCGGGACAGTACTCAAGCCCCTAAGGCTGTAATCTAGCCATTTAGGGTTGCCAGGTGTCCGGTTTTGAACCAGACAGTCCAGTATTTGAGCTTCCTATTCGGGAAACAAATTGAGAAAATATAAATGAGAAAACGTAAATGCCCTGTATTTTCGAAATAAGATGTACTGTAGATTGTGGTGTAATGTCAAGTGTGCCCGGTATTTTTGTTGAAACCATCTGGCAACCCTAAGTCCATTGCAGTTGTGCAGAACCCCTCAGATTCAGGAACAGAGCTACTAAAGTGGCTCTGCAGATAGCCTGGAACAGCAGTTCGGAGTGGAATGAACTGCCCCATTCATATGGCTGAGGTGCAAAGGGTATGTAAGCACAGCAACCAGACACCTGCCAAGGCTGGGCCGAGCCAGCTGCCTTGGGCACACAGGCTTCAGGGTCGAGGGTTGTTACATTGCTTTGGAGACTTTCTGGCTCAGAATCAGTCTAGGAGCCAGTGGGGTGGGAGGGGCCAAGAGCTCGATCTCCAGCTTGAGCCAGGAAACTAGAAGTCCGGTTGGCAGGCTTGCAACCTGGCTCTGTACAGCTCCCAGCAGCAGCAGCATGTCCCTCTGCCTCGTATGCAAAGGGATGGTCAGAGGGCTCCACACCCTGCCCCCCCTGGCGTGGGGCCGCACCCTATGAGAGCTGTGGTGACAGTGCCTGTAGGCTGAGCTGAAAGGCATGTGACATCAGCAGTGGGGAGGCTCCTTGGAAATTGCAAGCAGCATCCAGAGCCTGTTTCCCACACCTCAGCACCTCTGGCCCAACCCAGAATCCCATCCTGCATCCAAATTCCCTCTCAAAGCCTGCACCCCACACCCTCTCCTGCATCTCTGCCCCAGCTCTCTGACGCCTACGCGCCCAAACTCTCAGACCCCAACCCAGTGCCCAGCGTTGAGCTCCCTCGTGCACCCAAACACCCCTTGCCCCAATCCAGAGCCCTGACCTGCAACCAGAACTAGGGATGTTAATCATGTAGTAGGGCAACCATGTCACTGCTGAGATTTTCAGCAGTGACACGGTTACTCGTGTTGTGGGGTCTGCAGCATAAAGCTTAACTTTATAGTGCAGAGCCCACAGCAAAGCCTCCCTGGGAAAGGGGCTATCAGCCCCTGCTGGCCTAGCTCCCGGGGAGAAGGTCAGGCCGCTCTTGCTGGCTCTGCTCCAAAGGAGGTGGCATCACTGCTCTGCCACAGCAAAGTCTTCTGCTCCCAGGGAGGTGGCTTCACTGCTCTGCCACAGCAAAGTCACCACCCCAGGAGCCAGCTGAGTGTAGCTGACACCATTAACCGATAAGCTGGTGCTTATTAGTTATTCAATTATACTGTAACATCCCTACTCTGAACCTCTCATTTCTGTCCCCATCTGAAACCCACAGCCATATTCCAGAGCCCATACCCCCTGCCTCAGTCTGGAGTCCCCTCACATATTCGGATCCCCTCAGCTCTACGCCCCCAGCCTACATCACTCTCCTGTACCCAAACCTCTCATCCTAGCCTCATCCCAGAACATGAACCTGAAGCCCCTGTTTCAGCCTGCAACCCCCCTCCTGCATTCTGAACCCCTCATTACTGGACCAACCCCAGAGCCCACAACACCCAGCCAAATCCCTCATTCCCTTCTGGACCTCAATCCTGTTTCTCAGCCTGGTAAAAATGAGCAACTGAGTGAAGGTGGGGGAGAGCAAGCAAGGGGAGGGGGGCGAGAAATGGAGCAAGTGAGGGACAGGACAAGGGTGTTGGGTTTATGCATTTAGAAACCTTATTTGGAGTTCAAACATCTACCAGCAGTGATCCATAAATTAGAAGGCCAGACGGGATCAAATTGATCCTCTAGTCCAGTGTTTCCCAGTTTTATTTGGCCATGGAACCCTTTTCAGCTTAAAAGAATTTCAAGGAACCTCTAGGGTTGCCAGGGTAAAATTTTGTCAAGAAAAAAAAAAGACCCACCAGAATTTTTGTTGAGCAACCCCCGCCCAAAAAAACCCCTGCAAAATAGAGGAGGCGGGGGAGTGCCACATTCTTACAGAACACTGTTCTAGTCTGATTTCCTGTCTAACACAAGCCAAAGAACTTGTGCCACGGCATATTTTGTAGACAAAAAAATCTAATCTTGATTTTAAAATTGCTAATGATGGAGAATCTATCAAAACCCCTGTTCCAATGGTTAATTACTCTCACTGTTTAAAAAAAACACACCCTTATTTTGTGTTTAAATTTGCTTAGCTTTCAACTCCAGCCTTTGGATCCTGTTACATCTTTCTCTGCCAAACGGAAGAGTTCATTAAATATTTGTTCCCCATAGACTGTCATCAAGTCACCCCTTAACTCTCTCTTCTTTGTTTCTTGAGTCTGTCACTGAAAGGCATGTTTTCTAATCCTTTATTCATTCTCATAACTCTGAATCCTCTCCAGTTTATCAATATCCTTCTTGCATTGTGAGGACTAGAACCAGAGACACAGCATTTCATGAGTGCATGCCCTAGTGCCAGAGAGAGGTAAAGTATCCTCCTTAGTCCTACTTGAGATTCCCCTGTTTACACACCCAAGGATTGCATTAGCCCTCTGTACCACAGCATTACTCTGAGAGCTCATGTTCAGCTGTTCTCTGTTCTAAGGGTTATGCATGACACCATATTAAAACATGTATTGTTTGCTTGTATGCAGCTTACCAAGCTATCCAATATCAGTGCTGTCTTTCATTATTTACCATTCCTCCAATTTGTGTCATCTGCAAACAAAATCAGTGATAATCTGATGTTTTCTTTCATATCATTGATAAAAATATCAAACAGCACAGGGCCAAGAACTGATTCCTGAAGGATATCTGCTTAGTTAGTTCCATTTTGCAGTTACACTTTTAGTATGTGGCATCTTGATTTTATATAATTCTAATAAATCAAAATGTTTTGCAATACTAATTCGACCATCTTACAGAAATCCATATATAATCAACACTATTCCCTTTATCAACCAACCTTGTAATTGCATCAATATCAAGTTAATTTGACTTAATCTATTTTACATAAACCCATCTTGATAGGCATTAATTATATTACCCTCCTTTGATTCTTTATTAATTGAGTTCTGTGTCAGCCACGCCATTATCTTGCTTGGGATCAAGATCAAACTGACAGGCCTATAATTACCCAGGTCATCCTGTTTGCCCTTTTTAAATATTGTTACAACACTGACTTTCTTCCAGGACTGGAATTTCTGCAGTGTTCAAAGACTTCTTGAACATCAGCATTAATGGTCCAGTGAGCTCCTCAGCTAACTTTTTAGAACTTTTAGATGTAAGCTATCCATACCTTCTGATTTAAACAAGTCTAACTTTAGCTGCTGCTGTTTAACATTCTCTTGAGAAGATAGTTGAGTGGAAAAAAAAATTATAACACAACATCATCTTTTTCCCCCCAGATACAGAACAACTATTTACCCAATACTTCTGTCTTTTCTTTGCTAATTCTACCATTCCCTTTTAGTAAATGTCTCAATACCATTGTTAGGATTGTTTTCCTCCTAATATACTTGAAAACCCTCCTTCCTATTATCCTTAATGCTGCAGGTCCATAGATTTCACATTTTTGTCCCTTTGCTTTCCTTATCAA